TTTTTTTGGATTTTTCAGTTAGTTTTTCCTGTTTAATTGTTGTAACATGAGGAAACACACAGCTCGTGATCTGACTTTAAGTTCTCGAGGGAAAATCTTGTGAATGTAAAATTTTGGCACATCAAACATGAACATTTTTCGTTGCAACAAAGACTGTTGCGAAAGTATTGTTCGCAGCCTGTGGCCATTGTGGACTCGCAGCCTGTAATGACAACTGAAGATGCCATAAAGCTTCACCTATTCTAGTACTCTGGTGGCCTATCGTCTACTATTTTACATTCCCAAATCTTTGAATCTTTGCTCTTTCATTTCCCTTAAACGTAGTAGGATCCTCACTCAAGCAGTGAAGTAGCCGGAAGAGGAAGGCGAGCGAAGTGTACGAACGAACAGATTTCTGCTAAAAAACAAACATATTAACAAAGTGGATTTTGATTTTTTTATTTTTATTTTTATTTTTAACACAATAAAAATGAGAGAGAAAACAAGAAATGGAAATGGAGAAACGCTATAGGTACATAATATTGGACATAATGGTGTACATAACAATCACATTGAGTGAGACCAACCATATATAAAAATTAAGTATGATATTGGGACATAGAGATGTACATAACACTCATTTGGGACCCACCAAATATAAAAAATTAGAGAAATGTTATAGGTACATAATATTGTACATAGAGGTGTACATAACACTTATATTGAGTAGATCCCACCTAGGGCTGCAAACGAGCCGAGCCGAGTCGAGCATTGGCCTTATCGAGCGGATTGAATTTTTTTTTTGAGGTGCTCGAGCTCGAGCTCGAGCTCGTCGAGCTCGATTTTTGGTGCTCGAGCTCGACTCGATCAAAACATACAAGAGCTCGAGCTCGACTCGAGCTCGACTCGAATTCATAATGCTCGAGCTCGACTCGAGTTCGGCTCGAACTTTTTCAAGAAATTTTGTAAAATTACTATTAATTACATATATATACAAGGGTATTTTAGTAATTTCATATATCTCGATCCGCTCGCGAGCCGCTCGACAATACAATATATGGGCTCGAGCTCGAGCTCGAGTTCGTGCTCGAGCCGCTCGAGCTCGACTCGAGATCGGTCAAACTCGAGCTCGAGTCGAGCTTTGACTCGAGCGCTCGCGAGCGGCTCGCGAGCTGCTCGACTCGTTTGCAGCCCTAATCCCACCAAAAATAAAATCAAGTGGACGTGAGTATTATGTACACCTCTATGTACATTTATTGTGTACTTGTAGCATTTTTCAAAAAATTAAGTGGACCTCACGTGAATGTTTTTTTTTTTTTTTTTTTT